TAGACCCATCTCCTTATAAATTTCTTCAACATAGACCCATCTCCTTAGAAATTTCTTCAACATAGACCCCTCTCCTTAGACATTTCTGTAATCTGGGCTCATATAAGAGATTTTTTACAATCTAACCCCATCTCCTACTAGATATTTCTATATTATAGGCCCTTCTCCTTAGAAAGGTCTACAGTCTAGGCTCATTTCCTTAAAACGTCTACAGTCATCAAGGCCATTCTCTTCAGAAAATATTACAATCTAGGTGCATCTCCTTAGACACTACTAGAGAGTAGGCCTTAACCTTTGCAAACTATTCTAGATTTGTACACATTTGTTCTATGATGCATTTTAATTAATTTTAGTATATTAATAAAAGTCCAGTACATCAAACTTTACTGGCTGTGTTCATATAATTTTCATCTCTGTCAGCAGATAGGTTTGAGCCTTTTACCTTTGCTAGAGTGAAACCTGTCTATCTATTTTCATTCTAATTTTGATAATTTAATATTTTTACAGGGTGAAGAAATTTTCCTAGATATGTTTGAAGATGAATACAGAGAAATGAAAGTGAGTTATTCCCCTTTGACTGAAGTGTTATTTGATATACCTACTGCTCATAGGTGGGTTCTTGCTGATTTGGGGAAATGTTTCACTTTTTAGCCCACCATCATCTGATGGTGGGCTATTCAAATCACCCTGCGTCCGTGGTCCGTCGTCCTTCCGTTTTCCGTCGTCCGTCGTCTGTCGTCCATCGTCCGCCGTCCGTCGTCCGTCTGTAAACAATTCTTGTTATCGGTATTTCTCAAGAAGTACCAGAGGGATCTTTCTCAAATTTTATATGCAGGTTCCCCTTGGTCCTAAGCTGTGCAGGGCAACTTTTGAGACTGATCGGATAAACAACATGGCCGATAGGCAGCCATCTTGGATTTTGATAGTGAAAGTTTGGTTATCGCTATTTCTCAAGAAGTATCAGAGGGATCTTTCTCAAATTTTATATGTAGGTTCCCCTTGGTCCTTGGCTGTGCAGGGCAACTTTTGAGACTGATGGAATAAACAACATGGCCGACAGGCAGCCATCTTGGATTTTGATAGTGAAAGTTTGTTATCGCTATTTCTCAAGAAGAACGGGAGGGATCTTTCTCAAATTTTAAATGTAGGTTCCCCTTGATCCCTCGTTGTGTATGTTATATTTTGAGACTGATCATAAAAACAAAATGGATTAAAAGAAGAACTAAACAGATCTTTCTCATATTGCAATGATCGATT